TCACCGTCCTTTCTTTCTTTCTTTCTTTCTTTCTTTCTTTCTTTCGTCCTCTGGTCACCGTCCTTCCTTTCTTTCTTTTTTTTCTTTCTTTCTTTCTTTCTTTCTTTCTTTCTTTCTTTCGTCCGCTGGTCACCTTTCTTTCTTTCTTTCTTTCTTTCTTTCGTCCTCTGGTCACCGTCCTTTCTTTCTTTCTTTCTTTCTTTCTTTTAGTCATCATTGATTTTTTTTTTATTTTTTCTTTCATCATTTACTCAAACACTTTTCTTCCTTTCTTTTTTTCTTTCGTTCTTCCTTCTTGGCTTTTTTTCTCACTTTCTTTCTTTCTTTCTTTCTTTCTTTCTTTCTTATTTCGTCAGCTGGTCACCGTTCTTTCTTTGTTTCTTTCTTTCAGTTATCATTGATTTTTCTTTATTTCTTTCTTCATTTACTTATAGACTTCTTCCCTTTTTCTTTCTTTCTTTCTTTATCCATTTCTCATTTTTCTTTTCATTTTAGTTTTTCCGTCTTATTTATTTATCCTTCTATTCACATTCCCTTCTCCATCTTAACCTGCCATCTTTACTCCCTTTTTCTCTTCCGACTTCCGCTCTAGAACCCGTTCTAATTCCCTACATCCTGTCGACCTCCGGCCACCCGACCCATATCTTTTTTTTCCCTCATTATCTTTATCATTCAGACCCTAGCAAAAGTCGTCCGGCAATCCCCGAACAGCCATCAGCAATTTAATTGCGACAACATATCAGTAACAAACGCTAAAAATTAACTGATTACCGAAAGTGTCAAAGAAGTTTGTCGACGTCTTCCTTCCCTTTGATTTATTTCTTTTTTGACTGACAGGCAGAAAATGATTGCGGGGTTCCGGACTTAAGGAACAAATCAAGTTTTCTTAGAGGATTTATACACACTCATACGCACCAAATGTATGCATGTGAGTGTGCTGGAAACGGATAGGGGCTGGAAATGAGACAAGTTCAAAATCCAGGCAAATTCGTAACACCCACTTTTGGGTAGGTATGAATCCATCTCTTTACCCAGAACTATGTATTATATTGTATGGCAGTCTGGACTCTTTAGTCTCGGGCCGAGAGAAGAATTTCGATTCTTCCTCCTCGGACTGAGAGAAAGTTTTGGATTCTTCAGCCTCAGGCTGAAAAAAAGAGTCTGGATTCTTCAACCTCGAGATGAGAGAAGAGTTTTGACTCTTCAGCCTCGGGCGAGAGAAGAGTTTGGAATCTTCCTCTTCGGGGTGAGAAAAGAGTCTGGACTCTTCAACCACGAGATGAGAGAAGGTTTTGGTCTATTCAGCCTCGGGCTGAGAAAAGTGTTTGGCCTCTTCGGCCTCAGGATGAGAAGTGTTTGGACTCTTATGCTTCGGGCTGAGAAAAAAGTCAACCTCAAGATGGGAGGAGGTTTTGGACTAAGAGAAGTGTTTGGATTCTTCAATCTTGGGCTGAGAGAAGGTTTTGGACTATTCAGACTCGGGCTGAGAGAAGTGTTTGGATTCTTCAATCTTGAGCTGAGAGACGGTTTTGGACTATTCAGACTCGGGCTGAGAGAAGTGTTTGGATTCTTCAATCTTGGGCTGAGAGAAGGTTTTGGTCTATTCAGACACGGGCTGAGAGAAGTGTTTGGATTCTTCAATCTTGGGCTGAGAGAAGGTTTTGGACTATTCAGACTCGGGCTGAGAGAAGTGTTTGGATTCTTCAATCTTGGGCTGAGAGAAGGTTTTGGACTATTCAGACTCGGGCTGAGAGAAGTGTTTGGATTCTTCAATCTTGGGCTGAGAGAACGGTTTTGGACTATTCGGACTCGGGCTGAGAGAGAAGTGTTTGGATTCTTCAATCTTGGGCTGAGAAGGTTTTGGACTATTCAGACTCGGGCTGAGAGAAGTTTTGGATTCTTCAATCTTGGGCTGAGAGAAGGTTTGGACTATTCAGACTCGGGCTGAGAGAAGTGTTTGATTCTTCAATCTTGGGCTGAGAGACGGTTTTGGACTATTCAGACTCGGGCTGAGAGAAGTGTTTGGATTCTTCAATCTTCGGCTGAGAGAAAGTTTTGGACTATTCAGACTCGGGCTGAGAGAAGTGTTTGGATTCTTCAATCTTGGGCTGAGAGAAGGTTTTGGACTATTCAGACTCGGGCTGAGAGAAGTGTTTGGATTCTTCAATCTTGGGCTGAGAGAAGGTTTTGGACTATTCAGACTCGGGCTGAGAGAAGTGTTTGAATTCTTCAATCTTGAGCTGAGAGACGGTTTTGGACTATTCAGACTCGAGCTGAGAGAAGTGTTTGGATTCTTCAATCTTGGGCTGAGAGAAGGTTTTGGACTATTCAGACTCGGGCTGAGAGAAGTGTTTGGATTCTTCAATCTTGAACTGAGAGACGGTTTTGGACTATTCAGACTCGGGCTGAGAGAAGTGAGAGAAGTTTTGGACTATTCAGACTCGGGCTGAGAGAAAGTGTTTGGATTCTTCAATCTTGGGCTGAGAGAAGGTTTTGGACTATTCAGACTCGGGCTGAGAGAAGTGTTTGGATTCTTCAATCTTGGGCTGAGAGAATGTTTTGGACTATTCAGACTCGGGCTGAGAGAAGTGTTTGGATTCTTCAATCTTGGGCTGAGAGAAGGTTTTGGACTATTCAGACTGGGCTGAGAGAAGTTTTGGATTCTTCAATCTTGGGCTGAGAGAAGGTTTTGGTCTATTCAGACACGGGCTGAGAGAAGTGTTTGGATTCTTCAATCTTGGGCTGAGAGAAGGTTTTGGACTATTCAGACTCGGGCTGAGAGAAGTTTTGGATTCTTCAATCTTGGGCTGAGAGAAGGTTTTGGACTATTCAGACTCGGGCTGAGAGAAGTGTTTGGATTCTTCAATCTTGGGCTGAGAGAAGGTTTTGGACTATTCAGACTCGGGCTGAGAGAAGTGTTTGGATTCTTCAATCTTGGGCTGAGAGAAGGTTTGGACTATTCAGACTCGGGCTGAGAGAAGTGTTTGGATTCTTCAATCTTGGGCTGAGAGAAGGTTTTGGACTATTCAGACTCGGGCTGAGAGAAGTGTTTGGATTCTTCAATCTTGGGCTGAGAGAATGTTTTGGACTATTCAGACTCGGGCTGAGAGAAGTGTTTGGATTCTTCAATCTTGGGCTGAGAGAAGGTTTTGGACTATTCAGACTCGGGCTGAGAGAAGTGTTTGGATTCTTCAATCTTGGGCTGAGAGAAGGTTTTGGACTATTCAGACTCGGGCTGAGAGAAGTTTTTGGATTCTTCAATCTTGGGCTGAGAGAAGGTTTTGGACTATTCAGACTCGGGCTGAGAGAAGTGTTTGGATTCTTCAATCTTGGGCTGAGAGAATGTTTTGGACTATTCAGACACGGGCTGAGAGAAGTGTTTGGATTCTTCAATCTTGGGCTGAGAGAAGGTTTTGGACTATTCAGACTCGGGCTGAGAGAAGTGTTTGGATTCTTCAATCTTGGGCTGAGAGAGGTTTTGGACTATTCAGACTCGGGCTGAGAGAAGTGTTTGAATTCTTCAATCTTGAGCTGAGAGACGGTTTTGGACTATTCAGACTCGAGCTGAGAGAAGTGTTTGGATTCTTCAATCTTGGGCTGAGAGAAGGTTTTGGACTATTCAGACTCGGGCTGAGAGAAGTGTTTGGATTCTTCAATCTTGGGCTGAGAGAAGGTTTTGGACTATTCAGACTCGGGCTGAGAGAAGTGTTTGGATTCTTCAATCTTGGGCTGAGAGAAGGTTTTGGACTATTCAGACTCGGGCTGAGAGAAGTGTTTGGATTCTTCAATCTTGGGCTGAGAGACGGTTTTGGACTATTCAGACTCGGGCTGAGAGAAGTGTTTGGATTATTCAATCTTGGGCTGAGAGAAGGTTTTGGACTATTCAGACTCGGGCTGAGAGAAGAGTTTGGATTGTTCAATCTTGGGCTGAGAGAAGGTTTTGGACTATTCAGACAGACTCGGGCTGAGAGAAGTGTTTGGATTCTTCAATCTTGGGCTGAGAGAAGGTTTTGGACTATTCAGACTCAGGCTGAGAGAAGTGTTTGGATTCTTCAATCTTGGGCTGAGAGAAGGTTTTGGACTATTCAGACTCGGGCTGAAAGAAGTGTTTGGATTCTTCAATCTTCGGCTGAGAGAAGGTTTTGGACTATTCAGACTCGGGCTGAGAGAAGTGTTTGGATTATTCAATCTTGGGCTGAGAGAAGGTTTTGGACTATTCAGACTCGGGCTGAGAGAAGTGTTTGGATTCTTCAATCTTGAGCTGAGAGACGGTTTTGGACTATTCAGACTCGGGCTGAGAGAAGAGTTTGGATTCTTCAATCTTGGGCTGAGAGACGGTTTTGGACTATTCAGACTCGGGCTGAGAGAAGTGTTTGGATTCTTCAATCTTGGGCTGAGAGAAGGTTTTGGACTATTCAGACTCGGGCTGAGAGAAGTGTTTGGATTCTTCAATCTTGGGCTGAGAGAAGGTTTTGGACTATTCAGACTCGGGCTGAGAGAAGTGTTTGGATTCTTCAATCTTGGGCTGAGAGAAGGTTTTGGACTATTCAGACTCGGGCTGAGAGAAGTGTTTGGATTCTTCAATCTTGGGCTGAGAGAAGGTTTTGGACTATTCAGACTCGGGCTGAGAGAAGTGTTTGGATTCTTCAATCTTGGGCTGAGAGAAGGTTTTGGACTATTCAGACTCGGGCTGAGAGAAGTGTTTGGATTCTTCAATCTTGGGCTGAGAGAAGGTTTTGGACTCTTCAGACTCGTGCTGAGAGAATTGTTTGGATTCTTCAATCTTGGGCTCAAAGACGAGTCTTGACTCTACAGCCTCGGGCTGAGAATAGTTTGGGCTCTTCAATCTCGGTCTCAGACAAGTGTTTGGACTCTTCAGATTCGGCTGAGAGAAATGTTTGGATTCTTCAATCTTGGGGCTGAGAGAAGGTTTTGGCCTCTTCAGACTTCGGACTGGGAGAAAGTTTTTGGATTCTTTAATCTTCTGGGAGAAGGTTTGGACTATTCTAAATAAACAAACAAACCTGCAACTTTAATCTTATGAGAGAAGGTTTTGGACTATTCAGACTCGGGCTGATATTAAATTTTTTAATTCTTCAATCTTACATAAAAAATCTTTTCTTTATTCAGACTTATTCAGGCTATTTTGGATTCTTCAATGTTGAACATATTTATTACAACGTTTTCAGTTTTACGCCGGACTTCTTCAAGTGTTTGGATTCTTCAATCTTGGGCTGAGAGAAGGTTTTGGTCTATTCAGACACGGGTGAGAGAAGTGTTTGGATTCTTCAATCTTGGGCTGAGAAGTTTTGGACTATTCAGAGGGGGCTGAGATAGTGTTTGGAGGGAAAATTGGGCTGAGAGAAGGTTTTGGACTATTCAGACTGGGCTGAGAAAGTGTTTAAATTCTTCAATCTGGAACTGAACTGAGAGACGGTTTTGGACTATTCAGACTCGGGCTGAGAGAAGTGTTTGGATTATTCAATCTTGGGCTGAGAGAAGGTTTGGTCTATTCAGACACGGGCTGAGAGAAACGTTTGATTCTTAAATCTTGGGCTGAGAGAAGGTTTTGGACTATTCAATCGGGCTGAATAATGTTTGGAAATTCAATCTTGGTCTGATAGGTTTTTTATTAAAATATACAATGAAATAAATTTATTCTTCAATCTTGGGCTGAGAGAAGGTTTTGGACTATTACAGGTGGGGTCCAAAAATATGTTTGGATTCTTCAATTTTGGGCTGTGAGGCCTTTTGGATATTCAGACTCAGGCTGAGAGAATTGTTTGGATTCTTCAATCTTGGGCTGAGAGAAGGTTTTGGACTATTCAGACATGGGCTGAGAGAAGATTCTTCAATCTTGGGCTGAGAGAAGGTTTTGGACTAAAACTAGGGCTGAGAGAAGTGTTTGGATTATTCAATCTTGGGCTGAGAGTAGGTTTTGGACTATTCAGACTCGGGCTGAGAGAAGTGTTTGGATTCTTCAATCTTGAGCTGAGAGACGGTTTTGGATATTCAGACTCGAGCTGAGAGAAGAGTTTGGATTCTTCAATCTTCCGGTTTTGGACTATTCAGACTCAGATATGGCTGAGAGAAGTGTTTGGATTCTTCAATCTTGGGCTGAAGAAGTTTTTGGACTATTCAGACAAGGGAAAGAAAGTGTTTGGATTCTGAAATCTTGGGCTGAGAGAATTTGGACTATTCAGATGGCTGAGAGATGTGTTTGGACAATCTTGAACTGAGAGACAGTTTTGGACTATTCAGACTCGGGCTGAGAGAAACAAAGAAATTCTTCAATCTTGAACTGAGATGTAATTTTGGTCTATTCAGACACGGGCAGAGAATGTTTGAAATTCTTCAATCTTGGGCTGAAGAAGGTTTTGGACTATTCAGACTCGGGCTGAGAGAAGTGTTTGGATTCTTCAATCTTGGGCTGAGAGAAGGTTTTGGACTATTCAGACTCACAGATAGAAGAAGAGACTTCAATCTTGGGAGAAACAAAGCTGAGAAAGTTTTGGACTATTCAATCTCGGGTGATGTAATGGTATTCAGATCCTTCAATATGGCTGAGTGAAGGTTTTGGACAATTCAGACTCAGGGATGAGAGAAGAATTCTTCAATCAGCTGAGAGACGGTTTTGGACTAAGAAAGCTGAGAGAAGTGTTTGAATTCTTCAATCTTGGGCTAATAGAAGGTTTTCCTATTCAGACTGGCTGAGAGAAGAATGTTTGGATTCTTCAATCTTGGGCTGAGAGAAGGGTCACAGACTATTCAACTCGGGCTGAGAGAAGTGTTTGATTCTTCAATCTTGGGCTGAAAGAAGGAAAAGACTATTCTGACTCAGGCTGAGAGAATGTTCAGATTCTTCAATCTTGGGCTGAGTGAAGGTTTTGGACTATTCAGACTCGGATGAGAGAAGTGTTTGGATTCTTCAATCTTGGGCTGAAAAGAAGGTTTTGGACTATTCAGACTCGGGCTGAGAGAATGTTTGGATCCTTCAATCTTGGGCAGTGAATTTTGGACATTCAGACTCACAGATGAAGAAGAGTTTTGATTCTTCAATCTTGGGCTGAGAAAAGGTTTTGGACTATTCAGACTCAGGCTGAGAGAAGTGTTTGGATTCTTCAATCTTGGGCTGAGAGAAGGTTTTGGACTATTCAGACTCGGGATGAGAGAAGTTTGGATTCTTCAATCTTGGGCTGAGAAAGGTTTGGACTATTGAACTCGGGTGAGAGAAATGTTTGGATTCTTCCAATCTTGGGCTGAGTGAGGTTTGGACTATTCAGACTCAGGCTGAAGAAGTGTTTGGATTCTTCAATCTTGGGCTGAGAGAAGGTTTTGGACTATTCAGACTCAGGGCTGAAAGTGTTTGGATTATTCAATCTCCTATATGAGAGAAAGGTTTTGGACTATTCAGACTCGGGCTGAAGAAGTGTTTGGATTGTCAATCAAGAGCTGAGAGACGGTTTTGGACTATTCAGACTTGCTGAGAGTAATTTGGATTCTTCCAATCTTGAGCTGAGAGAATGGTTTGGACTATTCAGACTCGGGATGAAGAAAGATTATTCAATCTTGAGAAACAAAAGAAAAGACTATTGAACTGTTATGTAGTTATCATTCTTCCTATATGGCTGAGTGAATTTTGGACAATTCAGACTCAGATGAAGAAGTTTGGATTCTTCAATCAAGAGAGAGAAGGGTTTGGACTATTCAGACTGGGGCTGAGTAATTTGGATTCTTCCAATCTTGGGCTGAGAGAATTTTGGACAATTCAGACTCGGGCTGAAGAAGTGTTTAAACAATTCTTCAATCTTGGGCTGAGAGAAGGTTTTGGACTATTCAGACTCGGGCTGAGAGAAGTGTTTGATTCTTCAATCTTGGGCTGAGAGAAGGTTTTGGACTATTGACTCGGGCTGAGAGAAGTGTTTGGATTCTTCAATCACAGATGAGAGAAGTTTTGGACTATTCAAACAAGGGCTGAGAAAAGAAAAGATTATTCAATCTTGAACTGAGTTAGGTTTTGGACTATTCATTCCTCTTGGGCTGAGAGAAGGGTTTTGGACAATCTTCCTCACAGATGAAGAGACTATGAAGACAAGGGAAAGAAAGAAAGAGTTCTTGAATCTTTGGGCTGAGAATAGGTTTGGTCCTTCAGATATGGCTGAGAGAAATGTTTGGATTCTTCAATCTGGGCTCACAGATGAAGAAGGGACTATTCAGACTCGGGAGAAACAAAGAAAAGGGTTCTTGAACTTGTTGAGAGTAAGGTTTCAGTCCTCCTATACGGCTGAGTGAATACTTTGGATTCGCAATCACAGATAAAGAAGAGACTATTCAGACTCGGGCAAGAGAAACAAAGATTCTTCAATCTTGAATATCAGAACTATTTTGGACTATTCAGTTCTCCGATTCGAAGCAAGTGCAAAAGAAAAGTGAACGTTTGGACAATCTTCCTGAGAGAATGAATTCAGACTTGAAGCAAGAGAAACTTGGGCTGAAAGATTTTGGACTATTCAGACCTCCTGAGAGAATGGGAGTGAATGGGCTGAGACAAGGTTTGGACTCTTCAGACTCGGGATAAAAAAGATTCTTGAATCTTGGGCAAGAGAAACAAAAACTATTCAGACTGAACTGTTGGGCTGAGAAATATCAGTCCTTCAATATGGTCTCAGACAAATGTTTGGACTCTTCTCTTCACTGATGAAGGAAAACTTTTGAACTAACAGAAATATTGTCTCTTCGGTTTTCTGCAGAAGGAAAGCAGTGAATTTGGACAAGCCAAGAGGGAATGTATTCAGTCCTCTAAATAAACAAGTGGACTGCAACGAAGTTATCGCTCCTCATCTACTCAGTGAAAAATTAAATTTAAATTGTATATTTTACATAAAAACTTTTTCTGGAATTTACATTATTGAGGCTATTTTTTTCTTTGTCACCATATTTAGAAAATTAGAAAAAGTACTGAAAATTCCTTCTTCAGGTGGTTGGAAGAACTTTTTGGGACAGTGGAAAAAATGAACATACAGGACCTTCCTAGTGTGAGTCAATGCTGGTTGGCAGGAACAAAGAAAAATTAACAGGAGAGAACTGATAAAAATGGGAAAATGAATGGAAGTAGAACATTGTGAGTGAAATAAATGGCACCCTATATTCCAACCGTCCTGAAGGGTCACGGCACAACGGTAGAACAACGTTGTAATAAATATGGTGATGGCAGAACAATAGGTTGAATAGCAAGCATCACAGATAAACTTAAATAAATAAAGAAAAAAAATTTTAGAGAAATATTTAAATAAATTTAATAGAGCTATAAGATGATGCGAAATAGTTACAGGTTTAGTCCACGGGAATATATTGTTCTAATTTGAAGGGAAACATGTGGCCCCATATCTCAAGTTAATTATTAGAACAACTCTCAGTTTTGAGGAAATAAATGGTGGAAGAACAAATGAAATAAGCATGAAAAAATTTATAAAATTGGGTAAAAATATTAAACAAAATATATTAAGGACAGGAAATTATGGAGAGCCATGATTGCCAACGTCCTGAATGGACATGGCACAAAGAAGAAGAAGAAGAAGAAGAAGAAGAAGAAGAAGAAGAAGAAGCTTGAGTAAAATGGATGGCGGAACAAGGTTTAGGAAAAATATCAAAAAGACAAAATTTAATAAGAGCGAAGGACAGGAAATTGTGGAGAGTCGTGATCGTCAACGTCCTGAAGGGACACGTCATATAAAAGAAGAAGTAGAAGGAGTTTTAGTAAATGGATGGCGGAACAAGATTTAG